TGAATTACATACCTAAGAAAACGTCCGCCACGATAAAGCGTGACGAGAACTCGAGATTCACGTACACTCGTGTCTCGATCCCAACTCTAATCACGAGTGGGATGAACGGTCGAAAAATTTTATCGTTCAACGAATCGAGAAAAGCGTAGCTTGACGTCTCTCTCTGTCTAGGTCAATAATAATAATAACAACAATAATAATTATTATTAGTACAAATAATAAAGACATCGTCTATACGTGTATTTTTGATTCATTAAGAATGGTAAACACGAATCCTGTGATATATTGGATCCATACCATCCACGAGATGTGTCCAGAGGAAAGGGGATCAGATTTGTTTCAACCCCCAGATAGAACCACCGATTAAAGAAGTGGCTGGAAGGCTCCCAGTCTCGGCTTCATCAAGCACTCTCTGCTGTATCGCATTAATGATATTGATTTCGAAAAATATCTTCCTTACACAAACTCACCTATTCCCGTGTGTTATCCTACGCTCACCGTATTTTATCATCGAGTGTTTGACCAACAAACGCGAAAGCTCGTTCGCGTGTTTTCGTTAAGCGGGAAGAAAACAGATTGTCTTATTAATATCTTTTATTATTTCTCTAGTTTCTTTCTTCCCTTCCTCCATTTCCTTCGTTTATATCGAGAATTAACATTCCTTCACAGCTTACTTTAACGATCTAAAAGAAATTGGTAATCTTGATCTTGAACCATTTGCTTGATCTTCTCGAGTTTTCTTATTAAATTTATAAATATAATAAGTTCTCGAACGTATGATATTTCTCTACCGATTTACATCGTTAATTAGCGCAACGGACGATCGACAATACTTTTTCCCTCGCTTCCTTTTAAGAACTTTCCTCATATCGATATCATCTTCCACCTGCAGCGATTAATTACGGAATCGTACCGTTTCCATGCATCAAAAGTCGTCGTAATTAATGTTTCTTCGCCGACCAACAACGTGTTGCACACTGCGAATGGATACATAAGGATTTTCTTATCTATTCGTATTTAATTATTATTTGACGTATCCGAAATGGATGGAAGAATATAATAAAAGTTGTTTTGCTAGTTTTGTCGGTTTATTCGATTTCTTTTGAATCAGTTGTTAACAATTTGAGTAAATTAATATTAATATACTCATACACTTGAAGAATTACCTGTTTTCTTTTCACTTTGGAGAAATTTAAGAAACATTTAAAATTATTCGCTGATATTAAATTTATAAAAATCAATATCAGAGAAAAAATTGTTAAACTTGGTGCTTCGATTTTTACGGGTAATATTTTTATTTTCACTTTTTTTAACATATCACGATGCAAGAATTTTCGCACTTGAAATATTTGAATTTCATTGACATAGTGCACTTTCGTGTAAGTAAGTAATTAAATCCACGTAATAACGATTGTAAAAATTCTTTGACAGATGAAATTGCGGGAGATGCAACGTTTAAACAGCGGCAAGAAAGATAAATGCAATATTTATCGATACCAGGATTGTGTATTGTCCGCGCGAGCCGAGTGCAACTCTGATTAGTGTGCCAATGGATGCTGTTGCACAGGATGTTAGATGACGTGGTATTTTATAACTTGGATACCGTAATTAACCTTTCTCCTAATGAGCATGGAGACGTTTTCACTTCGAGAAACTCTCTGTTCGTCTTCTTTTTAATAAGAGACATTCAACTTGGATTATAAAATTCTTTTATAGGAATTACGTCTATATTTACAGCAGTAGCAGATAATGAATTGAACATTCGTAGATATTATTCTGAAACTCTTAAGAATAATATTAATCTTCACCAAAATCGAACAATATTAATCAACTGTGTACACTTCGGTATATATATTTTGAACTTTTACTTGCATCAAATTCTCAGAAAACTTCTCTGTCCAAACCTCAGAAAAACTGCAAGAAAGCAACAAATATATATATAAAGAAGATCGAAAGCGAACGATTCCAATCACTTTAATTCTTCAAGGATTAAATGATTTCCATGATGTTAAATCTATCTTATCCATTAACCTTAGAAATTGAAGAAAGCCAACGATTTCAATTCTAATTTCCAAAAAATAATTTCTTAAGATCAAACGATAACGATTCCTCCAATCTCGTCCCGGTCGGAAGATCAAGAAGGCCGATTTGAAATTCGAACCGTTACCCTGGCCGGGCCGACAATTCGCGGAACGATTAATCATATTAATTGCACGTGGCCGGCCGGCCGCCGCTCTTAAGCTCAAAGCTGTTTAATTATAAATTGTAATTAGCGCGGCTTCGATTAATTAACGGCTCGCCCTCCCCTCTTAATTATTAATTGGCGGAACCAGAAGCGAGCATCCGGCAGCGACACTTCGTTCCCTCGACAGATCCCTCCTCTCCTTCGTTGGTAAAAAGAGGAGTTTCTCGTTTTTATCCTCCGTTCCTTTTCTCTCTCTCTCTCTCTCTCTTTTTTATTTTGCGAGATCTATCGAGAGTTTGTCGAGAATGATTTATCTCATCGATTTCTATTCCTTCTCTTTTTTCCGTTTTTCCGTATTCCGCGGGGAATATTATGCGATGCAATTCCCGCGCGTAATTAAAAGCAGAGTTGTGAAATAGGCAAAGTAACTGGTTTTTAGATTTTTTTCATTTTTTTTTTTTTCTTTTTCTTCTTCTTTTTCTGATTATCGAACGGGCGGATTGATAGTGACTTTTATTGAGATGGAAACGTGGCGGTTAATTAGTTTCGTTGTAATTATAACTTTTTTAAAATGTTATATACTCGAATAAAAATGTGTAGTAAATTATGTGTAGTATTTAGATTGAGGTGTCGGTAATAAAAGTGAATTTAACGACCTGCATAAACTGCAGATTTTAATTTTATAGGCAAATAGAAGAAGTAGATTGTTCAGGTGTGGAATAATCGATAACTTCTCTCTATTCCTCCCGTGCGTTTAAACTCTTTATTCTCCTTTCGCGATCCTTTGTTGAAAATTTTGCTGAAATTAATGTAAACTCGTTTAAAAAAAAAGGATTTTAATGGACGAAGGTAAAATTTTTCATTCGAGCAAATTTCTTTGGAAAATAACGTGAAAATCTATATTATATTTCTTACGTCAAATAATTCGATTTTATGCAAAAAACGTTCAGAAACGTCAGATATCCTTCATTTTAATGTTTCGTTTGTAAAGAATGAAACACCAAGCCACTTGTCCCGAGTAGGTTCGTGATGTTTACGCGGAGAGCAATAAAGAATTTCACTCTACGTCGGGTTAACTATCAAACCGTGTGTTGTCTCTTTGTTGACACAACGTTGGTTAATAGAACATTCCTCTTCGTCACACTGCTCTCCACTTCATATTTCAAGATTTGACATTGTGCAAATTCCAACCCGTTTATCACACTCGCCAGATTGATCTCCCAGTCGTTACTTTCTTCTTTTTTATTTCGCCATTTAAACAGTGTTCTGAAAAAAAGCACCTTTTTCAGAAGCAAGAGAAAACGACGTTTTTAAAATTCACGAGATTTCTTCCATTCGTTCGAAGATTAAACAGAGGAACCTTAATTTTTATTATCGATAAAAACTTTTTAATCCTTCGCCAACATTCCAAAGCACAATAAGAGAATAACAACAATTATCCTCTCCCCTTAAATTTCTCCTCTCCAGAAAAGTATTTCCTAGACGATCGAGAATCTAACGATTGAAAAAAGACAAATAATAGGAATGGCAATTGGAAGGCATGCATACTTCGTTACGTCACAATCCAATAATACTTTAAAATCGCACGGCCAGTTATCGTGTCTGGTACACTGCTACGCTATGCTCTACGCGCAGCACGAGACGCATTCAACGAGGAATGAATCGCAGACACGCCTTCGGCCGATTTTGCCGCGCATTCGACGAACTTTCTCACACATTGATCACGCGTGTCTCCTCGCACGGCCAGGATTCCCCGAATATTAGTCTAAATATATTGGTGACTAGCGCTGACAACAACAATCGTTTGAAATTCATAATCACCACATGGGTTTGCAAATTCGATCAACGTTCATCGTTAATGCAGGCAGAGGTGGAATATGAGATAAGAAATGTGGAGAGGTAAGAAATGTGTATATTCTAACGAATTTTTCGAGAAAAAATTATCCGATTTATTTTCTTATTATCTTTTGAAAGATATTGGAAACAAGCATAATCGACGATGACAAATCGTTTATAAACGCGAAGCCGCTTAACGAGAAGACAATTTTTTTCTTCGATTGGGCAAACATTATTTGCAAGATGATTATTGACAAGGATTTAAATGATTGATTGAGTAGCCGGGTAATAAACTGCTGCACACGAAAGCATATAATTTTTCCTCGATCGATAAGCTTTCCCGCTGAACTTTATTTTACGCGAATCGCGAGCAAAACTTGTCAATCACGAAATAAAATCAATTGTCTTTATTTCTAATGTGGAAATATTCACACGAGTACAAAATTTTTAACAATAATAATTTTACTTTTTCAATTTAAATCAATATATTGATTGATTTCAACATTGTTAAAATCGCGATTGTCGAACTAAAATATCTTTCACGTTTTATTTACACTCAAAAATCTACCGGTTCAACGAATCATTTTCACTAATTAGTCGTCCGTTATTCCTAGAAATCGATGAATCAGAAGAGTCACTCTACATAACCATCGAAGAGAAGCGAACAGGACAAATTACACGTTGACAACTTTTCAATCGTTCTATCGTTCAGCTATAGTTACAGCGTAAACCACATAATAGGCATGATTCTTGCGCAAATTGAATCCTATTTGCTCGAATCTGCTCAACGAGCTTGCGCAAAATTGGACGCAGAATATCAGAAATGCAATTATAACAATTATCATCAATTCGGTGACATACGAAAGACATAAAATTCTCTTCAGATTTCACAAGTATAAATTAACGCTTTGGAAAATTAAAATTGTTTCGAAAATCGTTTCGTTCCTCCACTTTCAGCATCTGTGCGTGGTTATTATACAGATTTATCGATATCTCTTGCGGATGACTCGTATCTAACATCTCCATCCGTGACCCACCAAAGTCTCCATACATAATATGCTCTGTGCTCGAAAGCTCTATAAATCTCAAACTCTTGCTCATTACCCTCCATTACCTCCGTCACGGGGCAACGTCTGGCGAAGTTCAGGTCCCACTCTTCGAGAGAGATCACGATCCGCTCGCGGCGTATCGTTGTGTACAGTGAGTCAGAAAAGTATTCGAATACGCTCGTTCGTAAATGAAACCGTTGACAGTAAAAATAACGGATATCAAGTTTTAAAGCTTTAAAAATAGTGCGGTTATGTAGCTACGTGGAGATTACGCGCGAATATTTTTCATTTTTATTTTTATTATTTTTTATCACTCCGTGAGAACGAAGTGGATTTTTAAAGTTTTTCCTTTTTTTTTTTTTATTTTTATTTTTGCGAATATACACGGATAAAGGAACATTTTATACGCCTGTATAATAATATATATATTCTCTTTTTATTCAAAAAAGAGTGTAAAAATTATTCATTTGCAAATCTAGTATCAGCAATAAATTCAAAGTTTCGTATATTTCTGTCCGATCGATCGTTGCAAGAATTACGAAGCAAGTATCGTCCAATGTTCAACAAATTATCAACCATTTCTCCTCGATTCTTGAAATTAGAAATTTAAAATTTAAATTTGCAACAAGTTGAAACGTGCAATTTCCACTCGACGACTCGCGCGACAATTAACTGGCCGAGTGTTTACAATCTAGCGCTTAGCGACGCAAGCAAGTGGCAATCAAGCGGGCCAATTAATGAGCGGGCCCCGTCGCTTCGCCTCGAACCGTTCCCCGGCTCTAAATTCCTTAATTTGCGCCAATTATGCGCGGCCCAGTAATTAGCCGCCTCTCTCTCTCTCTCTCTCTCTCGTCGGTACGG